TTATTTTGCTTAATGCCCATGAAGTCTTATTATTTTTAATAGTGTCGATTATTTTGTATTAACAGGCACTATTTTAAAATCTAGCTAATCGTCATACTCTTGCCCTCTTCCCACCTAGGTGGATTGAGCACAATATGTAAACTGTGACTAATATTGTAAATGGTTTCTGGCTAGAGTTTTTACGACCGGCAGGCTGCCTGACGTCAACCCTTCTTGGGAACCAAATATCCAGATCCGAAAAGATTATCTGTGGGTCACACAAATACTTGTCTAGAGTAGGAATCGAACCCACGACCCCCGACGCCAAAGCCCGTAGCTTGGCAGCGACACCACCGAGTCAAATCTAGCTGAGTATCAAATCATAATAAGACGAAATATCTTTAATGCTTAGGCACACAATCAACGTCATAAATTCAAATGTTTAAATAATGTATGAATTATACGACTTTGCCACTTATTTTGAATTATCGACCAATTAACGGCCAGGTTTTACTTATATATTACAAATCATAATAGAATAAGAAAATTACTTCGAAAATACTGTAATTTCTAAGAATTTATTATGAAACATAAAATCTATTTCCTTTTAAGGCAGTCATGCGCAGGCGATATCTTGCTTTTGTGGCAATTAAAAATTGTTCAAGGCTTATGACTTCAGTTTCAAAAATAATATATGTTTAAAATCGACCATATGTCAAAGATAAAGTATTCAAATGGGAGTATTTAATAGTTTCTCATCTAAATATAGGATATTTTTTGTATTCAGTAGTTGTGTTGGAAATTCAATTATATTGTTATATCTGTCTATCTTTCTGTATATCTTGTTGCTTTTTCGCAATTTCACATAAAACACAAATAATTGTAGTTTTTATGGGGTATGATTTTTGATGTGATTGAACTAAATGATAAAATAACACTCGAGCCTATGTGACGCTTTGTTGTTTTTGGTTTTTGAGCATCCCCTTCTAAAAAAGGATATCTACTTATACATTGTATAAATTTTGTAACAAAACTAAACTAAAAAAAAGTAAAGTAAAGTATCATAAATGTCCCACTGCAGGGCAAAGGCCTCCTCTGTAAAGAGGGTATCAGGGCATAGTCCACCATGCGACCCCACTGCGGATTGGCGGACTTCACATATTTTCTAAATATTTTTTTCTTATTAATTCGAAAATATGCAGGTTCCCTTACGATGTTTTCCTTCACCGCCGAGCACGTGCTAATAATACAGCACTTAAAATTAACAATTTCATTGGTGCTGACACCGGGAATCGATCTCATGTTACTCGAGTAATTAAAGGTGATCGCCCGGACACTGAGCTATCACGGCTCACAAACTAAACTAAACTAATTTTATGGGAACTCGAAACTTTAAAACATACTTCTTACGATGCAATTTTTAAAGACTATGTTACCCTAAACTAACGGTCACCAAGTGGTCGGAATTGGACGATAGACATCATTGAAAATTTCATGACATTATTGAAGTTTATTCATTCTATTACTAAGCCACTATTGCCTTCACAAAATAAAGTTTGAGAAAAAAAACTTTTACTTACTTTTTTGATAACTATTATATAAAAAAGAAAAGTAAATCGGCTAAAAAAACAGAGTTGAAAATGTCGATACATAACTGTTTATTTTTACCTATTTATTGAATTATTTGTTCATAAAAATGTAAATCTAAAAACTGGTATGAAGTAAAGAAAAAACCTATACATGTCCCAAAGTTGGGCAAAGAAAGCAATATATGTCTTCGTAATATTTTTTTTGTTATTACTTAGAATATAATTTTATTCGTTTTTAATTAACACAGGTTTCTTGACGATATTTCCTTAACCACTGAGCACGTCACAAGTAAGCACTTATGCTGCCATTGGGATTTGAACTTGGATATATTGAATTAAAAGTAATCAACCCGACACAGAGCTGTCACGGCTAATGGTTATTCAGTAGAAATGGGAAAACTACTCTAACTTTAAGTTTACTATGGTAGAACTACGCATATAGGTCCGCTTAGCCAAGGAAGTATCAAGCCCTCAAAGAAGACACCTTCTCTCATAAGACGTTTGTAATTGGTGTTGTATATTACCGATATATAAATCGACTATTTCGGGAATATGACTACTGTATAACACTTCTTTATTGTAAATAAATATATCAAACGTTAATCACAATACACAGATTTAGATAAGATTTGGTAATTTATTTACTACCTGCATTTAATGCCTAATTCTTTAGTTAGATAAACACAGTAATTCCGACTTAGAGAGTCGCGCTTACTCTGTTTATTTATCTAAAGTTGTATATCGCAGTGAACGTACCGTAGTAATAACTTTCAAATTGCCGTGTTGATCTCTTGAGGCTTGTAAATTTTATCGGTACAGAATCTGCGATGCATGCAAAGCTTCGTGACGATAATCTGCCATACATCTCGTGCTGCACGATGTTTTGACATAAAATACTTACGAAACCAAGCGTTATCACTGGATTATTCCAGGACCATTTCCTGATGTGATAAAATAATTTATTGTATAACCACAGCATAATCCAAATGATAAACTAATACAAAATATGTACTAGAACAATGAACCTAAAAATAAAAATCTTAAAAATATATATATATATATTTACATAATTAAAAGGAGTCCCTTTAGGCTAGTTTCCGAAGATACTAGCAGCGTTCTCCCTTTGAATAGCTACTTATTCTTTGTCCGAGGTAGCTGCCAGCTCTTCGGTCTCCTGTGATGTCAACTAACCTTTTTGCTATTTCCTTAAAAAGCCTTATAGCGCTAGGACTCCACGGATCAAGGCTGTTGATACCGAATGGGACAAAATTATATTCGGAGACCCAAGCAAGCCCAAATTGCAAGCTTTAGCTTTTTCAGAGATTGAGAGATACAGCGATGCGCGTTTTGAGTTTTTCCTAACATTAGTGTGGCTTTGTTTTAAGCAACTTGTGTAGATGCTATCGATGTAGAAATATTTTAAGCTTTATAAAACGTCTGATTTTTATTTTTACAATTATTATAATTAACTCTAGGCACTTTGATTGCAGTTAAGTGTGCATAGTTTCAGGTAGACTTTGCGATTTTTTTATTAAATTATTTTTTTAACTTATGCACCTGATTGTTACAAAGGCGGGCTTGATGCCTACGCCATTTTCTTCTGCTCAACTGCACGGCGGTTAATATAAATATCGATTGCATGAACAATAGATTCATTTCTTTTGAACTGGAAAACGTCTCTCTGGAATATATTTATCAACTACGTAAAAAAACACATTGCATTTTAATATTTAAAACAAATATTTCATTGTGAATTAAAACGATAACTTACAAAAAATATAGAGAATTTTCCGTTTTTTATAGAAGCTTACATTTGAATATAACATTTTTGCTAAATGAAATACACAAGCTCATATTAAAAATTATTTATTTTACATATTTACAAACATTACACATAAGGATTATATATTATTTTCAAACAAAAAGAAACGCTCAACAACGGTACATCAAAAACTTTGATAGCTTTATAATATAAGGACATTGATTTATAGCTTAAATATTAAAAAATATGTATGCTGGTTACCAAAATGGTTACATAAATTTCTCATAATGGTAAGAAAAATAACAAAAGGAATCGAAATTGCCGCTTGGCTTTATTTCTTTTCTAAAAATGTATTTCTTCAAACCCATTGCATTCTCGATCGTTTAAGCAAACGACAAAATGATGATGCATTTAATGACATAACAAAACTTTCCGTTACACAAAGCGATGGAACAATAGAATTTATGTAACGGCAATATATTTCAAATAAAAATTCCAGTAACAAACAGTGATAGCCATATGCTGTAACAAATCATTATAAAACAAAAGCAGATCATCAACGAGATAAAGTAGTGTAAAATAATATTGTTGACAATTTACTTTGCCATGATGTACTAGAATTATCAATAAAAAAACATAATGATAATGCTTTCTTTTTGAGAAATTATTTTATAAGGATGGTAACGTAACTTTGATGACATATCTTTCTATCCTTACAATTCGTAAAAACAACAAGTATTTTGTTTAAAAATCGAATACACCTGTGCATACCAATACTAAGTATAATTCTGTGCGAAGTCAAAAAGTTTTACCACATTTTTTGTTGCAATGTCAAGTTACGTTTGCTCTTTTAATACTATTAGAAATAAGCGCAATGCACAGAATACGCGTGGATGTATTGCAAAAAGGTCGATTATAACATTTCTTTGCATGAAAGCTCTTATAAAATACGGCTATTATCTTTTAAAGGTTACGAATAATACGGTATTTTCCATTTAATTGTTACTTCTCAGCTGTCTTCTTGATTCATTCGCAGCAATTTATATGTCGCCGCTTGATATATTACTTAATTGCTTAACTGGTATTATTTATATCAAGGTGACAGTGGATGTTAAGTACTAAGAACTGTACAGACGGTGGCAGGTATCGGACACGGTTGAGGTGTCTTCGTAGTGATTGCTTGTGTATGTAATTAATACCGACGTCAATGTCTAGCCCTCCAATCACTAAACTCGATCACGCGAATCAATGTCTGGCTCATTGTATAACTACAATAAGTCGTTCTACAGTTTATTACAAATACTTTAACCTATTTGTTGTTTTCTGAATTACAAATTGTGTTTTGTAACTAGATAAATTACACAGTAGATAAATAAATGGATGAGCTTTTTCAACTAATACCGAAATGAAATAAAAACAGCAGTTACTTAAATTCATTTCCTTATGCATCGAACAATTGTAAATGTATTCTTTAAAATCTGGCACGTTTACCTAATCCTAAACTATACTTAATAAAATCACAATAATCATACTGTATGTCCTAATAATTTGTATACTTTTCGCTGCCATTTCGTCTCCACGTCGATTGCCACGCATAAAGTTTCTACGCATCATAGTAACTTAAACTCTGGGACAATTAAAATTATTAAAATAAATCCGTGATATCACTAATGCCTCGGGTGAATGTATGCTGGCCACTGGTAAAACGGTCGTGCTGTTCCCTAAAAACAACATTGAAATTATATAATTCATTTATTTATGTTTTAATCTGAATACTTGAACTAACATACTCGAATAGTATTCATTTTTAAACAAATAATATCGCTAACAATATATGTGACGGTGCTGGCTTTTACTTGCCAAGCTAATGAGTACACATTAGAATTGGAGTTGACATTTTTTATGGAAAAGGGGGCCGATGGCAAGTGATCACCACAACCCATGCAACTGCACCGGAGAGCTTATGAGCAAAAACCTCGTCAGTCTTATGAACAAAAACTTTACTTTTCAAACACTTTAAAATACTCACTTCGAGCGTAGTCCTCTGAAGCCTTGTTGCGGAGTCCTTTTCAAACTTCCATTGCGCGTCGCTAGAAGCGTCTGTGCTAGAGTCGGCAATGTCATTAGTCTCGATTTCATTGTGCTTCGCATCGTCCTGTTTCTTCTGTTTCACTTCTAGCTGTTCATTAACGTAAGCTGGAATGAAGTACCTGATGCCGACGCCAGGCAAATTTTGAGAGCTCAATATTTGAGACGGAGAGAAGTATGTTTTTATCGGCGTCGCTTTAATGGGCTGGTTCGACAAATACGAATTGACGAAGCTTTGAACATTGCTAATAGGTGAGGGAGTAGAAGCCTTGAAAAAAACTTGAGTATATCTTGGTTCTGGCCTGAAGAATGGAGGTCGCCTGCAATAAAGTTGTAATAATTTTTATTGTTACGTTTTATTAAATATCGATGTTGTGCTCATGCGCATATCAAAACAAATATTATTAGACAAAAAGAATTATATAAATACTTGAATATTTCCTTGTAGTTAATCAGATTGTTACTTAATCACAAAGAAATGACTGCTAATTCAATTTCTTTTTCATAGACTTTTATATTTGGTTAACTAAGTCAGTTATATAGCTTATTTTATCAGTAGCTCTTATACACAGCAGATAAGAGCAACTAATGAGAAAACGGAGTGCATTTTAGAAATAAGTTCGCTATAACTAACAAGTCGGTATTTCATTTCTTCAACAACATACCAGTGAGCATTAGGGTCGGGTGTGTCATCGCTCCGGTCCTCCCAGACGGGCGCGGGGACCCGATACGGCTGTGGCGGAGGTAGCGGCTCTGGAGTCGGCGGTTCGATGGGCCCACCCTTCGTCCCATACTTCACCATGATACCGTGTACGCAAGTCAGGTACACCAGGCAAGTCAACAGCTGCCAAGAAAAAGGAAATTTTCTATGCATTCTGTTTGTGTACGTTGTAAAGACGTGTTTTATAGCGTGTAATGATTACCGAGAAACATATGAATAAGGTCATTTTTTTTTCGATAATTGAAAACCACGAGTAACAGGGCTAAGTAAAGGCTTCTTAAAACATTTAAATTGTACCCATTAAATGGCTAGAGAGTAGATTGAAGGCATATTCTATGGCGGGATACATGCATTTTGGCTAATATGCAAACAAGTTTTAAGGCTTCGAAACACCTCATTTATATTTTATGTGTTTACAAATTAACAGTGTACAATAATATTTTCCTTTTTTTAGTTTGTATACCTAAGTAATTCCAAAAGTTTTACTCGTCTTACGTATTATCAATAAAAAACCTTCAACTTTTATGTATTTTATTCAGTATAGCCTCATTTTAATCGAACGTATATAAAGGTGATTTTATTAACTGTGAAAACATCTAAAAACTAAAAAACTCCAACACAAAGTCGGGAACTGTAACACAAAAAATGTAAAGCTAATAAAGTTTTTAACTATCTAGTAAAGTTAACGAAACCCAAACAATAAGTATTTACACTTGAAATGATGTTCATCATATTTTTATTTACCTCTATTTAAATAATAACTATAAACTATAAACATCTATGATGAGCTAAAAGGAAATCTTTGAATGTTTCGTCAACTGTCTTTAGTTATTAAATGTATAAAAGTATCAGCCTATACATGTCCCACTGCTGGGCAAAGGCATCCTCTGTACAGAGGGTATCAGGGTATCATAGTCCACAAATTCGAAATATTTTTTTTTGTTATTACTTCGAAAATATGGTTTCCTCACGATGTTTTCCTTCACCGCTGAGCACGTGATAAATCTATAACTACATACAAATTAACTAATTACAATTGAATCAAGTTCAAAATATTTATCTCGTAACAATGACGCAAATTGAAATGCTCGATTTGATCCTTCCCATGCCAATAACCTTGTTTCATAAAATTTTGATATTTTTGTGATGTTTTATCTACACAATAAATTTCTTGCAAATACATTTGAACATTATTTCAGACGTAAAAAGATTTTCTTCATCATCAATGTCTTGTACAGTTTTAACGTGTAGTCACGACTCACAATTTTAGATTTATATGCAGGCGTGAATATGCGTAAAATTACATCTTTTCACGAGTGAAACTAGATTATCAATTAATTTATTTAGCTTCGCACACATACAAACTGGGAAAAATACATGGAAAGAAAGCATGAAGAATTATATTATCATTAGCCTTATTTGTCGTACGATTTGGCAAAGTGTTGCAAAAGTTGGTGAAATATCAAAATAGGAACGTAGATAAACGGAATGTAGAAATTAAAATATAACAAAGGAATTCGTTAGATGTTGTTAATTGCATAAATGCTAACGTTTCCAGTTACCATTGTTTTTTATGAAGTTAGCACATAGACTTTGTAACCTTCTTGAATTTCGCTACAGATACATTTAATGCACCTTCAACCGTGCTATCAGGGGAATCTTTATGTTTTAATAAAGCTGTCTAAGCCTGTTGTCGGCTTTGATTAGATTATTGTGTTAAGGTAGCGTGTTGTAATGCCCATTAAAGTTTTCGGTAATTTGCAAAATTCATTTCTTACAGATCTCATAAACGGAGGTAATCGAGGAAGGTATAAAAAGTTACATACCGGCAACCTCATGGAGAACGTCATTTTTCTTGTTTCTTTCGACTACTCTGTATTACATTCGATTATAATCCTGCAACAAAGAAATACACGATGTCAATTAAATACATTAAATAAGTTCATAAGTGGCAAATACATATTTTTCATTTAACAGAAAACAGTTCAATATTACAAATTGTATATTGGCGTAAATACAGAATTTTAGTTAATTTTAAGTACATTAAGTTTGCCTGATTAAATAGTAAAATTATTAAGGGTTGAAATTGTTGATTATGAAAACTACCAAAGCTATATATTACATAAATCTCTAGATGAACATAATAAATCACAATCTGAACTTAATAGACAAAAGAAGATATCTTATATTGCACGAACATGAATACACTCAAAAGAAATGTTACGAAATCTGTTAAGGAAAGGTGAACTAGTAGACAATCTTTCACACGCATCACAGTTCTCTTAATACAAAGAGGCTGACATTTCCATTAAAATTATGCTGGTTGGCAAGATAACATCGCTTGTTTTAGTTTATTTTGTAATGCTAGACCATTATATATATTATTTATACAGCACGCAACAAAGGAAAAATAGAAGCTTTTTTATCAGATTGAATTGTTTAAAATAAGCGACTTTATGAAGGACACTTATTACTTTATGAAGCATTTTCATTCCAGTGTCCAGAGTATATGTTAGGCTCGAATAACGTGATAAACGACTTATTTTAGGTTATCGTTTTATAATTTGTTTCAGTTTTGAACGGTACCGTTTTGGATTATTATTTGTTTTTTTTTAGTTATATATATATATATATACTACTTGCCAATAATCATAAAAAAATATTTACGTTAAACAAAATCCATAATTAAAAAAAAATATTTTTCAAACAAACTAATTAAATAAAAAAGACACAAAATTTGTAACATCCTATACAACTCGCGCCACAGCGTCGCATTACAAGCCTCTCCTTCTAACAGTACGTACTTCTACAGACACGCTGTATATATATATATATATATATATATATATATACATTAATTAAGCCAAAAATCTAAATTTAAATCAAACCAGAGACAGTAGTGGGTGTTTAGAATCCCAGTACGCGAATAATTATATATGTTTTTCTTTAGTTTTTCCCTTTCCTCAAATATCTAGTAACAAACTTCTGTCTGGGACAATCTTAGTAACTGTGGATACAACGTTAATATGCGAGCTATGTTTAAGCTCTTTTAAGAAAATGAAATTCGCAATTGTAAACGGTTTTATTTTAAATATGTCGCACCTTTAGAATTAAAGAGACCTAATTATGAAAATCATGATTTTGGCTTTATGTCAGGAAACGACCTAAAACCACCTTTTTCGAATCCTATTTGAACATGGGTCGATTTTAGAAAGCTACATAACGTATACTTCGGTCTCTTTCACTTCTCCTAATTACCGCATTTTTTCATAAGTTCCACAAATCTTTTTTTTAAGTTTTCCAAAAATTTATATTTTTTAATAGGTCACTATAATTCTATAGGTGCGGGGTGTTTTATTTTGCTATTTTAAATGATAAATAATTATACAACTTAAAACAAATGAATCTTAAGTACCCTCATGGCAACGTGTACCTAAATAATTGTTCTCGTAACATAAATACATGCAAACATTCTTACTGCATACATTTACGAAGTATGTCAATGCAACCATATTTTAGGGCTCAGTACGAGAGAGCAATAATAATGGAAACATAAAGTAATCGAAACATGGCGACGAAGTCGAAAAGATACAGACACAATAAAGAGCCGTGAAAACCTGACATTAAAAAAATCAATTTCGTTAAAAGCTCTCTTGGTAAAAGTATGTATCTTAAAACGTTTTAAAACGCAAAAGTTTTTAAAGTAGGGAGAACATAATAGAATATTCGTATTTTCAGCACAGTTGGCTGTCATGGATTCGGATAGTAAACAAATCTTATTTTTATTACATTGTTAACAATTTATTTATAATGTTTTTACTATGATATAAAAATGTCTTCCAGACAAGCAGAAATTGAATAAAAAAAACAAGTGGTTAAACCACTATTATTTAACTAGATAGTAAAAACATTTAACTAAATAATATGATAACACCTTTAAAACACTAATAGTGTTATTTTAGGAAATATAGCTTACCAACAAATACATTTAATAATAGATTCAGTCATCAAAAGTACCTAAAAATACCATATTTAACATCTAAATTATGATAATATAAAACGTGATTTTATAATGTATAACGACAGTTTATATTTAAATAAAGTGTAAAAATGCTAATAAAATACTTAATTAATTATAAGAGCTTATTAGGGTAATAAAAATAATCAAATGCTGAAACAATTATATTTTTGGGGAAAATTTTCCATACGATACTTTAATATTTGTTTTAGAGTAACAAATTTTTTTTCAATATGTACTTACAACTAAAACAAATTCCAATAGTATGAAAAATTCAAATAATGCATGAAATACAACAGGCAGATTTTCGCTTCTATATAAGTCCCTTCTCATTAGCTGATGCGTAACTGATGAAAGAGACATAAGGTACGCAAGAGCTCGGTATGTATGTACCTTGAAGGGGCATGTGTGAAATCCAGCGATTGCAAGCAGTCTTCCTACAGCGAGGTTTCATCATACTAGACGTGGAATGCGTTTGTAATTACAAGTTTTTGATATTTTTTCTAAAGGAACAACATAACTGTTTTAAATTTCCATTACATAAAATAGTAAAGATTATTTAATCGACGTTTGACATGCCATCCATGTCTATATACGGAAGAAGACTTTAAAGTATGCCTTCCTTTAGGTGGTCACGACTCGAGGTCAGCCTTTCTTCTCCGATGGTTGACGGATCTATAGATCTGTTAACTCTAGCTAACTTATAAGTTGGCTAGAGTTGCCCTTTAAAATTAATATTCGAAGAAGAAACGATAAATTTAGAACAGATAGGATACTTAAGGACAACACAGCAGCTTGTGCTGGTGCTCGAATTGGCTCTCCGGGGAAGTAACACAGTCTCAAAAAGTGCTGGCGTTTCGTCTGGTAGGGAGGTAATTCTGGCCCATTTAAATCGTCGGCGACGTCATCTAGCCCTCAGATTCTGCAAGTTTCCATGGGTGGTGGTAATCACTTTACAGCAACTGAAGCGAAAAATCGTTTTCCACACTCACAAATAGAAATAAAATGATTAAAATGTCTAGGAAACACTGGATTGTTTTTACATTAGCCCTGGATCTAAATAACAAGGCCTTTCAAGACCAGGAGCAACTGTAACGCTTACTCGTTCTCACAACCATTTCCATTCTAGATACGAGTTTCCCCATACATGCCAGAGAATTTATCATAAATCGCCAGCGCTCGTTATAAGCCCCTACGTAATAAAGCAGGAACGCACTGCAGTCCTTTTATAGAACGATTGTGACATAGTTTTTTGCTTACGACCAGTTCCTTAGGCGAAGCCACTGTATTTGAATATAAGAAGCGTCATTAATTTAAATACTTGGATAAGACACCGATTCGTTATTTCCTATGATGTTATACTTAGGAGTGAGGCTTATAGGTTTACTAGGCCAAAACATGTAATAAATAATCACTTAGTCATCTTATTTTTCAAACGATAGAAGAAGAAATGAGACAAAAGATACAATTAAGCACTTGATAAACTAAATGTAAGTTAAATAACTCTTTCTTATAAACGCAGTTGATAAATTCCTCAAAGCAATGAATCGAGACCTAAAATTTTGAATAATTTATATGCGAAGATATAAAAATAATTTCTAGTTACATTAATGAATCAATTATTCATACTTAACTATTGTAGCGAGAGCTAAAAACGATTTGTTTTTGCTGCCACATTCCATTAATACCGCAATATTATACATTCATTTGTTATAGGGGCTTGAAAACTTATATCAGACCTTATTTACTAGACATAACACACAAATGAATTTTCCTATTCGTGTTTTAGGAATGTAGACAAATGACGCGTGCTCAGCGCGAGGAAGCGATGTAATTGGTGTGTCTCCTTGGCTCAGTGCCTTGACAATGTGTCAAATAACAAAGAGGCAACATTACTCAGGACTTGTAATGTAAATTCGTTGCACCCACTCGGCCATACAACATTGTTGCCCTATAGGTAACTGGTATTGAATGAACACTCACTACATAAAAACCTTATTTATAAAAAAAATATGAATTTATTTTTAATGGACTCTCCCTTCCAGATTTTTTATAACATTGCTACGTGAAACTTTTTTATGGTTGTATATGCAACTTTAAATTATTTGCTTATATTGATGATTCTAGCAAATACAATATTAAAAATAATCGTAAGTTAAACGTTGATTGACTAATTTATCCTTAACTATCAGATAAAACTACTGTGTATTAAAATAAGGTAAAATTCGACGAGCTTTAATTTTAAGTGTAAATGGAGGGGCCATTAGTTAAGTAACTAATGGAGGCGCTGACTAATCTTCGATGCTTTAGGCAACTCTTATCTTACAAGGCTGGAGAAAAACCGGATGTGTAATATAAACAATTTGTTCATCTTATTACAAAACAACTGTAGTAAGTAACCAAACTAAAAGTAGAAAATAGTTTTTAATAAATTTAAATTAAGAATAGTGTGATTAACAAAAAAAATCTTTAATTGTAGAAAATATTAAGTCTTCACGCAAATATTCTACAAAAACTTTTTTTTTTAAATGCGTACTTGCACAAAGACAGTACCGGGTATCAGATTTGGTAAATCGCTAATCCTGGAGTTCCTTATTAGGATGATGGGACCAAATATTTAAATGATTGCACTGTCATCGGTCCTTGATAAGTGTCAATTTTATTCAACGTTTTGAAATGGATTAAAATCACATTGAAATATTCCGTTACATATCCGCTAAAAATAGCGAATGTTGTCCATTCGGAATCAAATCTGAGATTAATATTCCGTATGTTATGAACTCTACATTTATTCTTCTTGCATTACACAGTACGCAGCGCTAAACGGAACACGACCGTAGTATACATTACTACGTTCGTGATCCGTATATAATTACAA